CCCTGTCCATGGCAGGGGGTTGGACTGAGATGCTCTTTAAGGTCCCTTCCCACCCAAACCATTCCATGATTCTGTGACTGGTGGGGGATGTGGTGGTCGGAGCCAACGGGCACAGAGACCCCAAAATGGTGGAGTTTTCCATTCTGGGTGGAGGAAGGAGGGGGCAGCAGAACTGACACCCTGGACTGCTGGTGGTCAGACTATGGTCTGTTTGGGAGACTGGGTGTGAGTGTGGATGTGCTGTAGGGCAGGAAGGCTCTGCAGAGGGATCTGGACAGGCTGGATCAATAAGGCCAAGTGTCAGGGCCTGCCCTTGGCTCCCAACAACCCCCTGGAACGCTCCAGGCTGGGGGCAGAGGGGCTGGAGAGCTGCTCAGCAGGAAGGGACTTGGGGGTGCTGCTTGACAGGGGCTGGATATGAGGCAGAGTGTGCCCAGGGGGGCAAGAAGGCCAAGGGCATGGTGGCCTTTGTGGAGAAGAGTGTGGCCAGCAGGAGCAGAGAACTGATTGCCCCTCTGTGCTGGGCACTGGGGAGGCCCCACCTGGAGTGCTGTGTCCAGTTGTGGCCCCTCAGTGCCAAAAGGCCCTTGAGGGGCTGGAGCGTGTCCAGAGAAGGGACCGGAGCTGGGGAAGGCTCTGGAAAACATGTCTGCTGAGGGACGGCTGAGGGAACTGGGCTTGTTGAGTGTGGAGAAGGGGAGGCTCAGGGGGGACCTCATTGCTCTCTGCAATGACCTGAAAGGAGGTTTTAGTGGGGTGGGGGTTGGTCTCTTCTGCAAAGCCTTTAGTGACAGGAAGAGAGGAAATTACCTTAAATTGCATCAGGTGAGGATCAGATTAGATATTAAAAAAACCCTTTTTCCACTGAGAGTGCTCAGGCATTGGAACAAGTAGCCCAGGGAGGTGGTGGAGTCTCTGGAAGCATTCAGGTGGCATCTGGATGTAGAGCTTTGGGATGGGGTTTAGGGGTGATTCTGGTGGTGCTGGGTTGACAGTTGGACTAGAAGATCTGGAAGGTCTCTTCCAACCTTGATGATTCTGTGATTCTCTGACCTGTCATCCCTGTTTGCCGGTTTGTGCTCTAACAAGACCCTGGGGATGTTTTCTCTGTTGGGTCCACAGAGATTGTGTTGTGTGAGCTTTTTTCCTCTACGATCAAAACAAGGAGTAATTAATGCTAAATCCGGCAGGTGGCTTTCAAGTAATAACTTGGTCCAGTTTGTCCAACTGTGTACAAACAGGGGAGGAAAATCTGGAACTTTAGAAGGGTTAGTTTTTTCACTCATTATCAGGATATCCAGGGGTGCACCAAGTGCCTTCCAGTGAGGAGCACAAGAGACCAGGAGACAGTGTCAATATTGTTCTAATGTTAATCTCACTGGAGCACAGAGTGAGATCACATCTGAGTTATGTTTCTTTAATTAGTGATTGGGAATAAAGAGAAAAGCACATAGTTGATGACAGTTTAGGATTTATTTCACACTCTTAACAAGAAGGTATTTTCCAGCTGGACTTTGAATAAGGTTCCATGGTATATTGCAAATTTCTATCTCAAGTTAACAGTCTACTTCTTCCTAAAGAAATTCTCAGCAGCTAACACCCTTTCATCATCTGGCTCTTTCCCTGATGGCTTGGCTTCTTTCCTGTTTTATCCCTTCTCAGCCACTCGTGCCAGAGGCAATATTGAGGAAGGAAGTGGGTTTTAAAAAAGACAAAATGCAAGAACTTCCTTCAGGCAGTCAGTTCTTCTGGGCAGGGCCGTCTGACTCCTGGTGTGTTTCCCTCCATGTGCTCAGCACCGGCACAGGGCACACTGAGGGAGGTCTCCAAACTTTCCTGTAGGTGATTCCCTCAAAACTAATCCCCTCCCAGGGCATCACAAGATGATGCTCATCAGCTCTTCCAAGTCAAAGGATACTTCTTTTCCCCCAGGGCAGAAAAGATGGAAACATGTTACCGGTGCAAGAGAGGGACAGCGGAGGCCCATCCTCTGCCATGGGGGCGGTGACCCAGACTCCCTGTTTGTCCTCTAGTCCCTCTGGGAGCCCTGAGGTTTCCCTCTGGTCCCCTCTGGCTCCCTGTGCTTGGAAAGCCTTCCAAATCCATTCTGGTGAGGGGAGGTGGTGATGCAGCAACAGCAGACACCTCGTGGGATGCCTGGACACCCCTGGGGAGGCAGAGCTGGGGCCACTCATTCTGTGCCCTATCCTGGCTGGGTGCTGGGGGGACTGCCCTGAGGAGAGACCAATGAGGCTTCTCCTGGGGAAAGCCTCAGCCAGAGCTCAACTTCCCAAACAAGGCTGGGGCTGGGGGTGTGCCGAGGGGGAAGTTGTCCTGCAGGCAGCAGGGCAGGACAAGCAGGACGCAGTCTGCTCAGGAGAGTTTCTTTTTTGTGATAACATCCACGACTGGAAAGCTCCCCAGACAGCCACCAAGGATGACATCACAGGGATGATGTGATGTCATGGGGATGATGTGACAGGAAGGATGTGGTGTCGTATGATGGATGTGATGTCATAGAGGAGATGTTATGTCATAGGAAGGATGTGATGTCACAGGGAGGATGTGATGTCACTGGAAGCTGTGATGCCACAGAGGAGGATGTGATGTCATAGGAGACATGTGATGTCACAGATGGGGATGTGATGTCACACGGGAGCTTTGAAATCACAGGAAGGATGTGATGTCACAGGTAGGATGTGAAGTCACAAGGGAACTGTGATTTCAGAGAGGATGATGTGATGTCACAAGGAGGATGTGATGTCACTGGCAGGATATGATGGCACAAGGTGGATGTGATGTCACAGGAGAGATGTGATGTCACAGTGGTGATGGATGTCATACTGGAGATGTGATGTCACAGAAGAGGATGTGATGGCACAGAGGAGGATGTGATGTCAAAGGAAGGATGTGGTGTCATATGATGGATGCGACGTCATAGAGGAGATGTGATGTCACAGGGGAGCTGTGATGTCACAGAAGAGGATGTGATGTCAGAGGAAGGACGTGATGTCAGAGGAAGGACGTGATGTCACAGGGGACCCCAACAGGTGCTCCATCCCAGTCCCCTCTCCCTGCCACGCCCTCGGGGCTGGGGCCAGGGCTCTGTGCCTGACCTGGGCTGTGCTCTGCACACAGGTTTGCAGTGCAGACTGTTAAAGCCCTGCTGCGCCAGCTGCTGGGTGAGGACGTGTTGATGGCGATCGGTCGCAAGTGTGGCTGGGACATGCTCCTCAAGGCTGACAGCCACCACTATGCAGTGGGTCTGCTGGCCAGGTGAGAGCCCTTTCTCCCCACTGCCCCACACCCCCACAGGTCATTTCTGCCCTGTGCACAGGCCACCCCTCACAGTGCCCGTGTGCTGGGCCAGAGGGCCTTGGCAGCCAGGGATGGCTGAGCAGAGTGGAAAAGGCGGAGAGGGGCGGCTGCACAGGAGGAGCCACCTCCCAAAGTGCCCACGTCCTCTCCTGGGCTGGTGGCCAAAGACCAGGCCTGTGTGAGTCAGTCCCAGGAGAGCTTTGCCCACCTGGCTCAGGGTCTCTGGCACCTTTATTCCCCCTTGCATGGAGCTGTTAAGAAATCCTCCGTGGATGGCTAATTGCTTGCATCATCTCTGCAGCCACGGCTCCTGCTGCACTGGCCATTCAGTGCAGGCCATGCCTGCAGTGCCAGTGTATGGCAACTCTGGCAGCACCAGGAGCAGGGGTTCAGAATCTGTCTGGTTTCAATATTTCAAGTCCTCTGGAAGCACATGGGACAAGCCCCAAGACAAGAAGGCCGGGTCCTGGCCCTCTTGGCCGTGAACTCTGCGTGTCCAAACAAAACAGGGGCAGAGGTGGGACCAAGCGGAGTCACTCTGCACCTGCACTGAGTTCATGGGAATGCAAAAGGAGGATGGACCTTGGCTGAGTGCTTGGAGAGAGAGAAGGTTGTTTCTCCAAGTGGAAATGCACTTGAACCAGCCTGCATGACCAGCCTGTGTTTTCCTCTGGAGGCTGAACACAGCCAGCACATGAGGGGAGGGGAATGTGTGGGATCAGGGCACTGCTTTGGGGCCATGCTGGGAATTCTGGTGCACTAAAAGACAAACACCAAGTGCTGCTCACAAGAGAAGAGGAATAAAAGGGGACACAGAAAAGTGTCGGCAAACAAGTCTCGCAATGGAACCTCATTTTCTCCTTCAGCACCCACAGGAGGGGGGGTTAAAAGTGGGAGTTGGGACTTCAAAACTGTTTGAGGGTAAACTGGGGCTTCAGGGAACAATGAAAAAGTGGGAGGAACAGGAAGAAGGGTGGAAAAGGGGGGCTGGTTTTGCAGGTCTGACGGTCCCATGGGGGTCTTTGGGCACAGGGGAGCTGGCAAAAGGGGGGTGGCCCTCCAGAGCTCCCAGCTTACTGTGGGGTGCTGGGGGCTGCTGGATCCAATCTCAGCCTTGGGTTATGCCAACAGTTTCAGTTTAGAGGAATTACAGAGGTGTGACTGAACCACTTTTGTCCCCCAGGTTTTATGATGGCAAATCAGATCTATTGATAGAAATGAATTATTTAGCGTTACAAATGATCAGACAAAACATCTTCATCAGAATTTATTACTGCACAATAGAAACACTAAAACTAACAGGAGTACAGCATAAGATAGGACAGTGCTCTACACTAAAGCAATTGTTGAAGCAATTCTACTCAAGCTGGCAAAAAAGCAATAATTCTTAATTAGAGATGGATGGAACTCCCCCAGACCAACGCTCGTGGGGAGATCTCTGCTCTCAACCTCCAGGAGTGACCTTGGGGGGTCCCCAGCCAAGGCAGGAATCTCCACACACCCCCAGGAAGGGTTCTGTTGGAAGAAGCTGCCCCTGGGAAAGGGGACTGGCCCTTTGTGGTCGAAAGGGATGGACTGACAGTCACTGGACTCCAGGGGTTGCCTCACCATCAGGGGCTTCATTCGGGGTGGAAGCAGCGGCCGAAGCTCTTCCCGCAGTCGGGGCACTTGCAGAGCTTCTCTTACTGGTGGGTCCGTTGGTGTTGGGTCAAGGTAGAGCTGTCACTGAAGCTCTTCCCACACTCCCCACACTTGTAGGGCCTCTCCCCGCTGTGGATGCGCCGGTGGGTGATGAGGTGGGACTTCAGTTTGAAGCCCTTCCCGCAGTCGGTGCAGCGGAAGGGCCTCTCATCCGTGTGCGTCCGCTCATGCAGGAGGAGAGTTGAGCTCCTCTGAAACCTCTTCCCACATTCCAAGCACTTGTAGGGCCGTTCCCTGGTGTGGATGAGTTGGTGGGTGTGGAGGGTGGACCTGCAACTGAAGCCCTTCCCACATTCCCCACATGTGTAGGGCCGTTCCCCGGTGTGGATCCGCTGGTGTCTGCGGAGGTTGGAGCTCTGAGTGAAGCTCTTCCCACATTCCCCACACTTGTAGGGCCATTCTCCAGTGTGGATGTGCTTGTGCCGGATCAGGTCGGAGCTGTCACTGAAGCTCTTCCCACATTCCCCACATGTGTAGGACCGTTCCCCAGTGTGGATCCGCTGGTGTTTGCGGAGACTGGAGCTCTGAGTGAAGCTCTTCCCACATTCCCCACACGAATAGGGCCGTTCTCCAGTGTGGATATGCTTGTGCAGGATCAGGTTGGAGCTGTCACTGAATCTCTTCCCACATTCCCCACATGAGTAGGGCCGTGCCCCACTGTGGATGCGCTGGTGTTTGCGGAGGCTGGAGCTCTGAGTGAAGCTCTTCCCACATTCCCCACAGGTATAGGGGCGTTCCCCGCTGTGGATGAGCTGGTGTCGGATCAGTCTGAAGCTGTCAGTGAAGCTCTTCCCACATTCCCCACATGAGTAGGGCCGTCCCCCAGTGTGGATGCGCTGGTGTTTGCGAAGGGTGGAGCTCTGGCTGAAGCTCTTCCCACATTCCACACACATGTAGGGCCGTTCCCCAGTGTGGATGTGCTGGTGGCGAAGGAGGGTGGTGCTTGTCCTGAAGCTCTTCCCACATTCCAAGCACCTGAAGGGCTTCTCCCTGCTGGGAGGCTGCTCAGGGACCACCAGCTCAGAGCTCCCCCTCAACCTCCGGCCGCCTTCCCGGCACAGGCTGGCTCTTTCCTCCTCAGAGCACCCTGGGATGGCTTTGGAGCCCCTCCTGCGGGGGGATCTCCGGCCCTTTTCCTCCCCGCTGCCTTCCTGCGCCGGGGAGCCCTTCAAAACGGCCTCTCCCACCAGGGTCTCACGGGGGGATTTGTCCTCCGGGCTCTCCGGCCTCACCTCGGGGCCTGGGGCAGGAAGCAAGAAGGACAGGCAGGGGATTTGCCTCCGGCCCACAGGGAAGGCCAAGGACATCCCCCCAACTCCGGCCCCGGCAGGACGGCGGCGCCAGCGGGGTTGTCCTGCAGCCGGGGCCATGCTCGGCTGACAGAGCCAGCACAACACCCGCCCAAAGGGACACTGACTTCCTCCTCACCTGCCTGGGGGGACCAAGGCATCTTCCTCTTCCTCCCAGCCTCCTCCTCCATCTGCCCAAGCTTTGGGAAGGACAAATCCTGATGGGGGGGAAAACAAGGGCTGAGCGCGTTGGCTTGGGGGTTCCTCCTGCCCAAGTCCATCTCTAGAACTCACCGGGCATCCTGTGATCATAAAAACCTCCCAAACACCAAGATTCAGCCCAGAAAAACTCAAACCTCTGAGATTCAGGCAAAAACCCTCTCAAAAATAGCAAGAAGACCCTCGTCCCCCAAACTGCAAAAAGTTGAGATTCAGCTAAAAAACTACTCCAAAATATGAAGGTTAACCCAAAGAAATTCTCCCAGGAGTTACCCCTCTCTGGTCTGTCCCCTCTGGGGTTGGGAACAGCTTTCCTCTCTGCGATGCTGGGGGTCCCACTCAGGGATGCTGGGAGTGTTGGGGGTCCCAAGGGTCCCTTCTCCTCTGACTCTCGCTTTCAGGATGCCGAGTTCCCAGACATTCCCCCTCTCCAGGTTCTCCACTTTGTTGTCCCAGGGATCCCAGGGGTCCCCACTGTCCAGGTTTCCCCTTCTCCGTGTTCCCCCCTCCAGGCTGCCGGGGGTCCCCCAGTTCTGCCATCTCCCCGCTCTGCCCTCCACACTCGGCAGCTCCCGGGCTCCACACCCACCCCCGGCACTCCCGGGGGGCCCCAAACCCGCTGTGTCCCCCCCGCCGGCACCGGGCTGACAATGGAGCCGGCGGGGCCTGACCCAGAAACACCAACCCCCACCATGGGGGGGACCCACATCCCCCCACCCACCGCCGGGGCTCTGCCACCAACCCAGCCCGGCACCCCCAAAAAACACCTCCTGCCCACCCCCAACAACCCCCAAGGGCACAGCCCTGCACAAGGGTCGGCTGTGCCCAAGGCAACCAAACAGCCCCACAGGCGGGGGGACAACAGAGGTGGCCCCAGGGCAACAAGAGCAGGGAGCGGATCGGGCCCTCTGACACGTGGGTGTGCTCAGGATTCAGCCTGACCAGGGGCAATTTGGCACCAACAGCACGGCCCAGACCGCTGGCTCAGCACAGGGGGCCCGAGCTCCCCCCTCTCCAGGCTCTTGGGGCTCTTGCAGCTCCCCCCTCTCTCCAGCCTCCCCCGCTCTCCAAGGATCAAGGCAAGTCACCCTGTCCCTTGGCTCTCTCTCTGCCAGCTCAGTGTGGGGCACACGGGCTGGGGGTCCCTCCCAAGCCCCCCGGGCAGCCGGCGTTGGCTGGGGGGATGTGAGGGCTGGGCCTGCTCAGCACAGCCCCGGCCTCGTGCCCAGCGCCTCTTTCCTGACCCACACAAGAGCTTCCCGGCCCCCCCAGGGCTCCCCTGCTGCTGCCTCTGCTCCTGGCCCTGCCTTTGCTGCTCCCTTGGCTGGGGCAGCGGCTGCAGGGGGGGATGGCAGCAGCTTCAGCTCCACGGCACTTCCTGGGGGGAGCTCAGCCCGGGGGGACGGGCAGGGACCTGATGGGGATGGACAGGGGCCCAGCAGGGACAGACAGGGCCTGCAGGGGAAGGCACAGGGACAACCTGGCCCCCCACACTGACACCGCTGTCTCTGCTCCTCCTTGCAGGCTCCGTGGCCAGGCACAGTTTGTGTTCCTGGGTGCCCACCATCTCAGCACTTGGAGACGCTCAAATCAGCGCCCGCAGCTCTGCAGCAAAGCCCCAGCTCACCTGGCACACAGGGGATGGACACAGCACCTGCTCGGGGATGGGCATTCACAGCTTTGTCTCTTCCCCACCACAGGGTTCTCCTTCCTCAGCAGCACCTCTGCCTTGCACTTATTCTCAGCCTCACCTCAGGGACAGCTCTGGGCTCACCTCCGCGCCACTTCTCAGCCTCACCTCAGGGCCTGGGCTCAAGGACAGGAACCTGCAGGGAGGGGACATCAGGTGCAAGCTGAGGGCTGCCTGCTTGCACTGGCCTCTGGGCTTCTTTCTCCTTCTACAACCAGCCCACAACTCAGCCTGCTTTTCTAACACCACACATTTACACACTAACCTTGGAGATAGATATGGACAGACATCTCGATCACCCTGGGGATAGAGCCTCAAGCATGTGCTGCCATAGGAATGGCAATCAGAGAATCACAGAATCAGCCACGTTGGAAAAGACCTCCAAGATCATCAAGTCCAACCCTTGATCCAACCCCGCCGTGCTTCCCAGACCATGGCACTGAGGCCACATCCACTCTCACCTTCAACACCTCCAGGGACGCTGACTCCACCCCCTCCCTGCCCAGCCCATTCCAAGGCCTGATGACTCTATAGACAAAAAATTTCTTCCTAATATCCTACCTAAACCTCCCCTGGCACAGCTCAAGACCCAGCCCTCTTGTCCTACTGCTGCTTCCTGGCAGAACAGCCCCACCCCCACCTGGCTCCAACCTCCTGGCAGGGACTTGCAGAGAGTGATGATTCCTGCTGGGGACCTGAGGGAGCCTCTGCAATCCCATCCATGGGGCACAATCTCCTTTCCAGAGCTTGACTCACTGCAGACTTTGCAGGGAAATCTCTGCTCCCAGCTGCATCCTGAGCCCAAGGTCAGTTTGTATCCCCAAGTGCTGATCCAATGGGTGCCCTGGGATTGAAGCCTGGGCTCTAATTAACCTCTCCTGTGCTGCCAAACAACAGGAGCTGTATGGCCAAGGGACAAACTCTGTGATCCCTGCCAGTGTCCATGGCCCCTGTCAGTGTCCTTCAGGGAAATTGGGAGGAGGAAATGAAGAAACCAGTTTGGAACTAAACTGGTGTAAAAGTGGGAAAAACCTCCTTCCATGGAAATAAAACTTAGTTTTTCCTGGGCTGAACAAGCTCATTCAGGGACGAAGGACTGGGACTTCTGTGGACACTTGTGCTGGTTTCTCTGGACACTCGTGTTCCTTCAGAGAGCCCCTGGAAACACTCTGCTGTTCACTCCCAGTGCCACCAGTGCCTGGGTCCTGTCTGCAGCAGCAGATTGCAGTGGGATGGGAGAAATGCTTTTCTGAGCCTCTGGGCTGGACACAGGCACAGCCTGACCCTGAACCCAAGGGAAACAAAGACAAATTCCACGGCTTTAGCTGGACCAAGGCTGGGGGGGTTTCCTGAGGGCAGCACTACACCAGACTTTTGTGTGTGTGAGACAGGCAGAAGCACAAATGCCTTGTTATTGCTCATTATTTGTAATATCTTATAGATCTATCATACAACACCTAAGAATGGATTCTGTAGAATATGTGCCATAGATATGATACAGAATATATCTGATTATTGCTTTATCTGTCTGTCCAGACAGATATTGAGTATGAAGAGTATATTGAGTATTTGAGGGATATGTTCCTCTCAATACCCTGTGAGCTCCACTCCCAGTGCCAGCAAATTCCTGAAGCTCCCCCTTCTGTGCCCTGCAGGTTTTGGCAGATTTGCAAGAGCAGGGGAATCATTCCCTGCAGCCCCTTTGCACTGTAGGAAATGGGAGCCCTGTGCACATCCTGCTGCCTCCAGATTCCATTCTGGGTGTGGGAAGGACCCTGTGGGGAGCAAAGAAATGCCTGGTTCTGCAGGAGCTGCAGATGCTCAAGGGGCAGCAGGACCAAGTCAGGGGCCTGGGGGGGGTGGGGGGCTTTGGGGTGCAGGAGGGTCCTGGGGGAGCTGGGGAGGGGCTTTGGGGACTGGGGGTACAAACCAGGACAGACCAGGACAGACCAGGACAGACCAGTACCTCCTCACTGCTCCCCAGATCTCTCCTGGAGCTGGGCCACGTTGTCCTGGGACACCTGAGCCCCCCCCAGTGCCCTCCCAGTACAGCCCAGTGCCCCCAGTACAGCCCACTGTGTTCCTGTCCCAGGGTGCCGAGTGATCCCTCTTTGGGGGTGTTGGAATGGATTTGAGGGGGGGCTGTGGGAGATCTTGGGAGATCTGAGGAGTTTGGATGGGGATTTGGGGGTTTTGAGTGCCTTTAGGGAAGTTAAAAGAGGTCTTGGGGACATTGGGGGGTCAGAGGTACCTATGGGGGGAGGGGATTAAAGGGAAAATGGAGGTTAGGAGACATTTGGGAGGGGTTAATGAGGCCTGGGCGGGCAGAGGAGGGGCTGCACCAAGAGCAGGTGAGTCTTGAGACCCCCCCTTGTGTCCCCAAGACCCTCTTGGTGTCCCCAGTTCCTCCCTTGACACCCCGAGGCCCCCCTGGTGTCTCCAATGTTCCCAGGGACTTCCCATAGCCCTAATTCCCCCCTAGGCACCCCCAATTCCACTGTCCACAAACCCCACCCCACTGTCCCCAAGGCCCATCCCTGATGTCCCCAACCCTCCATCTCACCCCAGGAGCCCCCCCTGGACCCTCTGACCACAAAAACACCCCCACACACACACTCACAGAAAGGCCAAGGGCATCTGGGAAAACATTGGGGAGAGTTGGGGGGCTTTGCAGGGCCCTGGGTGATTACTGGGGGATACTGGGACACACTGGGGGGAACTGAGGAACACTGGGAGGGACTGGGGAGTTACTGGGGGATTACCAGGACACACGGGGAGACAC